GGAAAAGTTAGGAATTTTCTTAAGCAACGTTTACTATACCATTCTAAATAATCTTGAAATCTACTTTTTTGTTTGAAAACATTTCGCTTGAGTACTAAATACGATTCAACATATTGTTTAATAGACAGATATTACAACAGATATATTTACATATAAAAAAATAAAGTGAATCTGTGTTTTAGTATAAACATAGCTATCTTCATCTTGTAAATAACGAAGGACTTCAACGTATCCGATATCCGAACATAGAATCTAGTTAAATTTAATACGGTTAGTTGAGAAACATCGAATCGCTCCGGTATAGCAACACGAAAACTGGTCTCGACTTAGAACCGGTTCCAACTGAACGAAATAAAAGTTCTAAAGGTCATTGCCGATAATACGCTTGGCAATAGCAAATCCGTCCACGCTAGATTAAACTATACTGCATTGTATTTAAAGTTTTAATACACGGTACAACAAGAACAAGACGAACTTGTTTATATTTACAGAAATGAAAAATTATCGGCGGAATATATTCTGCGATCATAATAAAGAAGGAGCGTATCTGATAACATTAACATTTAGTAATGAGAATATAATGTGCTTTATGGAGATTTTTAAGCAAGCGTTTTCGAATTTAGTGGACATAAACAATAGCAGTCTCAGCAGGGCGTATAAGCGAATTAATTACGCTATAAACCCAGACAGCTGATAAGGAAAGAGTCATAAAGTGAAATAACTGAAAGCTCAGAGAAATTATAGTTTTAAGAAATTTCTTTTTCGAAAGTACACTGGAAGGGCGTCCTGCAATTTGAGAATCGTAAACTTTATGAGTTTCGATGTAGCATTCCGAATTAAACGAAAATTGACAGTGAGAGATGATTGTGGATCTTCGTTAATTACAACAGTTTATTTAAACGGAACTTTATTATCTTTTGATATTAAATATCGGAAGACGGAGATAAAGTTTGATCAGATATACTTTAAAAAAATAAAAGACTTGCCAAGATATTTTAATGTAATGATGGTAGTGAACTTTGCTTGTGTCTGCTTACATACATTTTGGATAAACATATCTAATACTATGTAACTTCTTAAGCCAGCAAAAATGTTTTCTTATTATTTCTTTTGAACTTGCACACTCAGCCATAACAGCAATGATGTAGTGCAAGACTAGTTACAGAAAATACTGAACTATTAAATTTAAGAGTTCATTCGAGTCACATGCTCTCGTTTATTAGAGCTCCAATCACAGCTGTAAAGTCATTACAATACAAACTAAATTACATAATTTATTACTATATTGAAGCTATATAGAGTTGAGTATTCGCAAGTCAGTAATTGTGTTAGATGTAAATATCCAAAACAATAAAACTGCGTTAAATTCTTCGTCATTCTATGTTCAATATATTATATTTTGTTGTTTATAACATTAATTATAGAAGTTATTAATATGAATTTAATTTGCTAAAACCAAATGTTTTCAATCAAAGTGGCAAGTAAGCTTATAGCAAACTGAAAGATATATAGCTGTGTTTTGGTGTTTCGCCTAGAAGTTGGTCGTTCAGATTTTCAGTCGGCGTCAACGTGGCGTACAATTTATTGCTATTTGTTGGACTTTCTGTTTTCACATGTCAAAAGTTAAAATTCACAAGTTGATATAAGCTGATATTCGAGTGCGAAATTTACATTAATTTTCTAAATAGTCTTAATGTTTTTTCACATACTTTCTTTTTATATTGAATAAAATTCGAACACATAACACCGTCAATACTAGACAAAGCCTCGGGTAATGTCTGTCTGCGCTAAGGTAATTCTTGTGCAACAAACGCCGTTCTCCAGTATAATGGCACCATTAAAACACCACCCACAAGTGTAGAGCAAATTGCATTTGCCGACTTGGGTACGTATTTTACAATCAAACGTTGATTTCAAACGCCACCAGAAGCGCATTAGGGTACATAAATTTGCTTACTTAAAGCATAAACTCGAAGAAGGATTCACACAAAATTGATTCTGAAAGCGGCTAGTCTTAAACGTTTTATTTATTGTCTTACCATCCGCGATGTTTGTTTTTCTTTAAACGCTTTAGTATCGGTGCTAAAGAACAGATATCATTAATTGGGTATCGTTTGAATCGGTTCGTAAAGTTCCTTGAATTAATCTCGGCCGATGTTATCATCGAAAGTGGGGGAGAAGTCAAAAAACAAAAGGGAACTAATGAAAATTCTTAAAACACTAAAGACATTCGTGAGTAAAAGTTCTATTTAGCATTATAGCAGAAAAGCACGAAGTAAAAGTTAACTGGAGTCGCACAGAGCCTTTTATTTCAAGGAAGTGTTTAAAGTAAATTAAAAGCGTTCAAGTGGAGTTTTTCACTATATCTTTAATCTAACAATCGGTTTGGAGAACGTTACAATCACAATTCCAGTAATAAATGAAGCCAAGGCGCGGTGCAACCTTGGAAATAGATCTGTTGCCATACTTCGCTACATGTCGACTAAAAAAATATTACAAAAACTGAGTCGACACTCTGTAGCTCGCCGCTCGGATTATAACCGTCCGAAACTCCTTTTTATTATTATTTTTTGTTGGTTAAATGAACCACTGTACCAACTGTAGAATTTGTACTAAAATCTTATATACAAAATTATTTGTTTCGAGATATTATACTTAAGTATATCAATACTCGTTTCTCGTAACTATAACGTCAGCTTTATTCTCGTAATAAAATACATAGTAAGAAAAAAAAAGAATAATATATAAATGAATTAACCGTTTCTCAATGTTATTGTATAATTATAATAATTACTATCTTTACATATAATATCATCTCGTGACTAATGAAATAGTATTGATGATCAGTCTATTGTAATACAGAGTATTACTTTAAAATGATACAATTCTGATTAATGGTTTCCTTATATTACAATAACTATAGCATAAATATTTAAAATTTCACATTCAATTGAGTTACAGCCCATTATGAGGGGTCAAAGGCCTCGCGCAGATTGTTTCATAGAATGACAAAAATATTTTTTATTCCATCAATTGGACCTACCGTTTATCATCAGTGTTTAGCCTTAAAACCGATACTAAAGGGAAAGAGAATTAGAATAATATTAGTGGTAGGGAACATAAAAACTAATTTCCCTTTAATAATGTCGGTAAAATTGCTGGCGCGAATGACCTGAGATTAACATTTCCTAGTAGCGAACGTATAGCGCTCACTGTACGCACATGAACCCTGTACGAAAGGCCGCTCACACATACAAACACACACACACAGCTCGAGAGTATGACTAAAAATATTACGGGTTGACATTGAAATGTTAATGCACTCTTGGATTCGCTGGCGCATTTTACGGATATTTCGATTTATACTCCGCTTCACAATAAAATTGACAATATTTTTTTAATATCCGCTATTATAGTCTACAATTTTTTTTACATTAATAACTGGGCCGTTAAACAAAAAATATTGGATACACAATCTCGAAACTAAGTAATATTATAGACGAGCAAGTTAATAATATTAAAAATCCTTCGATAAACATAAACGAGGGAAGGGTCTTGTATTAGTTAAAGCTTGAGTTTTATGATCAATAAATTTGTTACACCTTTTTAATTTAACAAATAAATTAGATAAGTGGCCCGAGCATGAAGACTAACTACGTGACCGGAATCATACCACACTAGACATTGCACAATGTTTGTAAAAATTTGCAAAATTCATCAGAAAATTGCAAAAAGTCTCTTCGTCATACATACAAATAGAATATTTAAACTATTTCATCTTACATTTACTCAACTATTGAATTTATTGAATCTGCTTATAATAATTCATTTTACTATATATTTATATATAAAATATTTAATATATAAAAAATACCTCGTGCTCGTGCAGACGTGGTTTTTTTTTTTTGGAGCAGTATGTATTATATTATATAGTATATAAAAATATCATAAAAACCTTAACTTCTAAAATAAAACAAACATATCTTTGATAACAGAACACGCACAAACGCGACAGGACTTAAGGTAATCTAAACGATTTGCCACACGCAGGCTTTTTAAACACTAACATAGGTATAGATCGCGTTTTAAAAAAACCTACCTATATTTTAAATTACAAGGCTCGCATGATTTAAATCAATTTCTCTTCATCGCCCTGAAGCCGAGCGAATTATTTCCTTTCCATAAAAAATATTAACACGCTTTATAAATATTAAATATTGATGTTATTTAAACGATTTTTAAATATAATGTAAAAAGATTAATTAATTTAATTAAATTCTTCTCCATAATTTTTTAATTGTTAATTTATAAAATCGTTTTAATTTTATTCTTTAATAATTGCGGAAGTTTTGTATTTAATTGCTACTGCTAAATTTTATATTGGATGTGTTATCAAAATTATCTAAAACACTATTTTATTTTAGTGTATACTTAACATTAATTTTATAATCATCATTAACATATTTAATATTTAAATATCGATGAAGTGTTATAATTATAAAATATATAATAATTATTCTTCTGTAGGACTTTTCATTAAAATGTAAGTTTAATTTATCAAAACTGATTGTTATATTTCGTCCTTGTAAACATGTTTGTAAAATTATTTTTCGTATTTGTAAACGATATCGTATCACGAATAATATGTTTACCAATTTCTTTATTTTTTCCTCGCGATGTGTATTACGCGTTATTTATATTTTTTTAAAACTTATTTCTGCGTCTTATTTCAGTATGTATAGTGGACATTAAATTTATTTTTTGTGGGTAGACTTTTAGTCGATTTCAAAACTTTTTGGTAGGTAGGTAATATTTAAAATTTTTGATTTTATTTTTTAAATAGTAACGACATTTTTATTTTTGTAGTTTAATTTTTTTTCTAACTTATTTATTTTATATTTGTTTTTTTTCGTATAATATTTATTATAACTTTAATTATTTATAATATTTTTTTATTATATTTAATTCACTGCCACTTAGTTTATAATTAATGAACTTACCTGAGTTGCATCAGTGTAAGGTGTTGAAGAGTTTTTATCGACAAGTTGTGAACCAAACACTGGGACGCCACTAGAAGTTGGCGTCAGAGATCGTACATCCGAAATTTGTTGGGGTACCATTTTGCTAATCCAAAAAAAAGCCCCACAAACACTACACAGTTCACCTAAACACAAGCACTAAAAAAGTTTATAGTCCAAGTTTCCGCGGGAGCCTCTCGGCGGTTATTTCGCCGAAAACCTCCCAATATCTGGATACTATTATTAATTTGCGTTCTATAATTAAAAATCTGCCGCTTGTCCTACCGGCATTCGGTCCATAAGTCATAATTGCGGAACGCTGTATCAGGCGGATTGCATCGCGTGGCGGCTACGTCTGTACTCCGCGGTGTCTGAGAACCTACTAACTGCACGTCAACGTGCCGAGTGCTGTCAATATAGCCGCTCAGCTGTTTTCCCCCTCCCCGCCGCGCACGCGCCCCGCCGTCCCCCGCGCGGCTCCACTCACTGCTCACTACTGACTACTGACTACTAGCTAGTGACTGCTGACTCGAGCGACGAGCGTCACGCTAGTACATACAAGATTCTCGCTAGGCGAACGACTATCTAGCTAGGCCATATTCTTCATATAATTTCTAACAAACTCTCATATTGTAAATAAAATATTTATATATGTATTATATATATTTTATTGAATTTATCGATTTGTTATGAAACGAAAACTAGATATCGTTATCATATAAACGCGTTTAAAAAGATATATAACGCAATTGCCTTGATAAATAATTTCATTGAACTCATATTAAAAAGTAAATATTTTAAATCAACTATCAATTATATACATAGAATTTATTTTTGAATCGAAAGGAAAACTAATATTTATACTCGATATTAAAACATAATTTAAATATTTGAAGTCCTTTCAGATATAATATATATTAAATTGATATCCATAAATATTTCCACGACAATATTTTATATGGTGATGAAATAATAAAAATATTTAAAAAAAAAGAATACATATAGTATATTAAATATTAATATTTGTATAGCAACTAAAAAAATAGCATCATAAAAGCCGCCGAAGCATCTGCTTGAGGCCCGCATATAATATATTTTTTTATTTATAACATTGTATTAAAACATTCACATAGCAATATAAGCTTAATGGATATAATATTAAAGGCTATTTATTTTTTACGAGTTGTCAGGTGTTGTAAAACACGAATCAAACGTATTTGCAAATGATATGGGCCAATTGACAACGGTGATTGGGGTACCTTTGGAGTTGTAAAAGACTTATTTAATGAATTACTTATAATGCTTCTCAATTTCATTGCTTATAAAATCACTATTAATTTAAAATATTGTCTATTTTCATAGTGATAGAAGTTTCAATGGTTATAAAAATTATTTTTTTTCACATCCAGAAATAAAATAAAATAAGGTTTACCTATTTTTTTGTATTAAAAAATTAAATATAATTATTTAACTACAACAAAATATAAAATCTGTTTTTGTTATACTACGAGTAGGTTTCTTGCAACATAATTTCTAGTAAAAAGAGATCCAAGAACATAAAATATATCTTATTCTTCTTGAAATCGTTTTGAAAAAAGTAACAAAAAGTTTATTCTTTAACCAATCAAATCCTATAAATAATATGTAATAACTAATAAGGTTACGGGAAGCAAGTAATTATAATTTGATTTTCCAAATATTACGAAGGATTTTTGTTCAATCACTTCTTATACCAATTGACATATTGAATTGATTTTACAGCAAACACCTATTGAATATTTAACTGTAATGAGTATTATAATTAGGTTTAAAATTAATAATTATATAATAAAAATTATTAACATATACTCCGCTACCAAATTTAAGACTGCTTGGTATATATATGAATTAAAATAAATTTTATAAACCATCAGACAGACAGGTCAGTGAGTAGTTTCATAATATAAAAAATATTTCATAACAAATTTATCCGACTGTTGATGTGATAAACTGGCGTTAACAAAACAATTTAATCTTCCGAAATCGGTCAAAGTGGTATTAAGTTATCACAACGCGGCCGAAAATCTGATTTGCGTTAACAGGAACTCGTTTAAGATGAGGAAATTATACAAAATTGGGACAGCTTCCGCTGTGCTAAGATCTTGTTGAGATAAAATGGATAAACTATTACATAGGCTGTATACACCTTAAAGCTAAGACGTGTTCCTTGAAAAACTATATTCTTATATATAGTATGGATTATATAATGTAAAAGTATCTATATTCTGTCGTAGGAAATGTTATTTTAAAAACCGTGGAACAAGCAAAAGGAATAATAAATGTAATGAATTTTGATGATTATATCTTTAAAACTTAAACAAATATATTATTTTGACTTTAGTATAAATTTTAATAAGTTATAATTATGATTTAGAAGACTCTCATCCTGAATAAATGTATGTTTAGAAGAAATTCATTAAAGATTTCTATAACATTACATTCACATGTCTAGTGAACTTAAAACGTAAGCAACGCCGCGGTAATTATATAGTTCATCTGGCACAAAGGCTTATTAAACTATCCATAAACAAAGTAATTTTGTTTTTAAACGCCGCAGGTACATTTTACTTAAATATCAGCCGTGATTTTCAGTTGCGGACATATTGAAATTCAAAGAGAATTTTTCAATAAAGTATGTTTCAGTAATAAAAATTAAATATTCCGTGTAATTATCGAATCCCGATTCAATTCTCCTTTGATAGAGTGTTCCGTGTATTTGTATGGAGTATTTATTTGTTTTTTATACAATTATATTTTATTCCGAATACAAGAATTTTTATTTAAAAGCTTATTATATTTTGTTCTAATGAAACGTATTTTTATATAAATATGAAGTATTGAAAATAAAACTGTTTTTACTAAAGGTGAAATGTAATTTTAACAAAAATTTAATCTAGTATTTTATTTTTAATAAAACTTACATATAGAAATTAATTACTTAAAAAAAGACATTATATTTACCCCAAAATAATTGAGACAATCATCAATAATAATATGAAGTACGATAGGAAATAAATCGTCATAACAATGTAAAGGAAGTTTGAATCACGCTCAGAATCGCTGACAATGCATTTCAGGTATGATTTCATCAATTACTTATAAATACATATAAAGTTATATACTTTTAAACATATGTCTGTCTGTAAAGTGTATTTTATATCTTAACAATTACTTAATTATTTATTTGTACTACTTTTAATTTACAATATAATTAATATTTCTGCTATTAGATTGTTGGATAAACTTTGTTAAAATCATATGTCAATAAGGCGAAAGTTAATTAAGGCATTATAAAATGATATGCAACATCATAATTATATAGATCTAACCCAATTTTATAGATTTAAGGCAAAAATTACTACTTATGCAAAACCACATATCATAGTATTTAAATCATTAATCGTATAGTTATTTTTTGTGACTATTTTTTGTGTAGGAAGCGGAATCGTCGTAAAATCGTTGTAAATTAAAAAATGCTGATATAACGTTTCGTGTTACAAGCTCACCCTTGACCTGATGATTCAGTGACACACTGATATATATTGATAATAGATATTCAATACTTAACTACATTTGGGCATGTAAAACTAGATGTTTGATTAACATTCATCATATATTTCTCGCACACAGAATTATTTTACCTTAGGTACTAATTCTTCTCCATTATCAAAAGGGGATAAAAAATTTAAGATGTTAGTCTGGTTAAATCTCGTTTCCAATAGAAGCAGTGAAATAACCATTTTTTTCGATCATCACATAACAAGTAGCATACCCTAAATATGCTGTATTCAGTAATTACAAGACGGAATCTGAGAAAACCCATATATCAAAGCATTATATGCCGTTTTAATTTACCTTAAAACCATTAAAGTAACAGTAATCAAGTTCCCTAGCTGAAGTTATAGCACTATTACCTGGATAAACAGCACTAACAGTAAACGCTTTTTACTTAATACTAAGTGGCTTCAACTTAAGCTGGATAACCTACGAGTGGACAAAAACCCTTATTGAGAACAATATTATAATATAACAAAGACTCCTGTGTTACCGATGAGTATTCAGAATGGGATAACCCTTTAGTTTAAATGCGACTGAATCTAATAAAGCGTTAACCAAAAAGAAAAAAATAGCAACACTCAAAGAATAGGTCCCGCTACGAAAATGCTGATAGAATTGAATTGACCATTCGATGTCAGCGCACACTCGTACGAAACCTAAAGCCTTAATTACATCCTAGTATATACGAACAAGAACTTTATTCATATTAAATTTAAGGTTTATATTAGATCGTATGTAATGAATGCATAACGCATCAAGCTGTATTAGGCAGTTTATCTCTCTTGCTGGAGTATGTTTGTGATGTGGTGGATAACCCGTCTCTGTCACACGATAGCAACGCTTCCCTCACACATAACTGGTTGCAACTTGGTCGGCTGTGTGATTATTTTAAACAGCTTTTTACTTACAATTATAATTAAAGCATAGACATTAAAAACTTGTACAATAATAGGTTTTATACCACTTATAAATATTGGATTAGTGGACACTTGGAAGTTTAAGACGCTGAGATGTACGTAAATTACGATCATGTAATGGCTTCAAATATTAAACATATAAATTACATTAATTAAATATGCATTATAAAATGATAAGGAAATTAAAATTTATCGATTTCATGTTACATTAAAAACAATTCTGACCACATGCAGAAAGATAAAAAAATATGGTAATTTTTATAGTCTTATATGTAGTTCAGTTGAGTTGATTTGGAAAAGGCTTGGAGCCTGAAGCGTTACTCTTTGAAAGATACGTTACGATGGACCATAAATTATTGACGACGATTTATTTTGACACGATACTACTAGTATCCAACCATCCAACGATCCAACTAGTCCATATACTATTACAGACAATTGATTACAACTAAGCCGTACCAACTAATAATTGCAATCTTAGGCTTATAACTCTAACAACTGTCACTTGTCATTTGAAATAAAATATATATGACATTACAATAATTGCAATCGTTTGTCCATTAGATTATTTAAAAAAAGCTAAATTTC